AAAAGTGGCGAGAAAGGAAGAGGAAACGGTGAAAAGTTCGAAATGTGACGCGAAACGTGCGACAAGCCGCGTTCGTCCGACTCCAAAAGGGAGTCCCCAAGCTCCTGCTTCTCGTTCTCCCTTCTTTCACCTTTGTTGCACTTGAGGTGCAAGGGTCGCTCTAGCGAGCACGATCTCGTTAACGGGATATGCGCCGTTCGTCGCGTCGCGTCGTACAACATATCCCGCTTTCTGGTTCCTAGCGAGATCAAAGCCGGGGACCCGTCGCGACTAACAAACAGAGCCTTTCGCGCTAGGAGAGACGGAGGGGGATGTTAACCCCGTGGTATTCGCTTAATTGTATACTCGTACATATACCTTTATATGATGCGGAGCGGAGGTCGCCCGCGGCGCGCAAGCCGTTTTATCGCGAAATCGTATTCCGTAGGACGAAACTGCCATAATGCCTATTCCACACCTGAGGATAATCCTATACTCGTGACGAGTGAGTAATGCAGAGACGATCACACTGAAATTGTGTTTTTAATCAACCGAAACAATTTGATTTTTTTAGGTTTGGTGTTCACATTATTTTTTATTTTATCACAGAAAAAAAGGAATCCTTGAAATTCAAGTATATTTTTATTCTTGAACGCTGTTTGATTAATTTAAGCATAGAATGCTCTTTGTAATCACAAATTTTCATTTGCCTTAATAATAAATAAGTTTGTGTAAAGTAGGTATATTTTATCCTTAAGATATATTCTTGTTTTAAAATCGCAAATCCGAGTGAGTAATGCAGAGACGATCACACTGAAATTGTGTTTTTAATCAACCGAAACAATTTGATTTTTTTTAGGTTTGGTGTTGACATTATTTTTGATTTTATACACAGAAAAAAAGGAATCCTTGATTCAAGTATATTTTTATTCTTGAACGCTGTTTGATTGATTTAAGCATAGAATGCTCTTTGTAATCACGAATTTTCATTTGCCTTAATAATAAATAAGTTTGTGTAAAGTAGGTATATTTTATCCTTAAGATATATTCTTGTTTTAAAAATCGCTTATGGTAAAAAACAAACTTAGTCACATTTGAACTAAGAATTATTATATATATTTGAAAGTACCGCTTATATCCGATGCACACTTGTCACTTGTCCTTGCAATATTTATAAGTAAATTTCAGCTTCAACCAAGAATATTTTGCACTTTGTTTTAAGAATAAATTATCCTTTATCTATGATTATTTATATTTGGCGCTATTATAAGGATAAAATATACTTGAATCAAGGCATATTTGCATTCTCTCAAGGATACTGTTTTTTCTGTGATAAGTCAGCGATACCACGTATGACGGAATAAAGCAGTCGAATGAGCCACGAATATATAGGATTATCCTTAGGTGTAGAACAGGCATAATCGTAAACGACGACGACGACGACGACGACGAAGACGATTTGCGCTCGCGATAATTATCAATCCCCCGTCGCAATTATAATTCGCTTTGGTCTCGCCTCCCATTCTCTTGAATCTCGAACCGACCTTCTTTACTATAGACGAAATATCTTAAATCTTTCGACATTATCGGATTATATACGACTGACACCGCCGACTCTCTTCCGACAGATTCAGCATTCGTAAAAATGTATGCAAGAAAAAATACGAAACGACGAAACGTCAAAGGAATCGCAAAGTATTTTTCTTTTAATTAAACCAAGTGAAAAAGAAGGTATTATACTATTATATAATTCCGAGAATGCGAATTTCACGGAATATAAAAGACATTTAGAAGAGTATTGTATGAAAATGGAAATTCTCTGAGATTTTAAATAACGCTTCCAAAGTCGCGGAATTTCTACAGAACGTATCCAAATTTTGCATACAGATTTCATTTAAATACAATACGTTTATTTAAATATTAAAAACACAAATATAATCATTTATTCTAATACTAATATTTTTATTTCGTCAGAGAGAGAGTTACGTAATCTTTTTCATGAATTTCAAACGACGTGAAATGTCCACCTAATTTCATCGATAGATATTCGCGTGAGCTGCGAAACCTTCTTCCGCGAAGAACGGTCTTTATGACGCTCGAGAGTAAAACGCTTCGAAAGATGCGTGCTCGCGTGCGCGTTTGCTTAAATTTGCTAATATTAAGATAAGGCAGCGGCGTCAGAGGCGACGGAGAAAAAAGCGACAAATAGCGAGAGAAGGAGAAGAGAGGAAGCGATAGGGGGAATGTAATAAAAGGATAGGAGGCTCCGTGCGAAAGTACGAGCGAGATAACTAGGACAACGTGTTTATACGCTGTAAATTCGTCGCTCGAGATTGTCGACGTCGTCGTCGTCGTCGTCGTCGGCTGCGACGCCTCGTCTCGCTAAGTTGAACGGAAACACGCTCGAACACACGTTCACGTAACGCACACACGGTCGCGTACAAGAATACGAGTATTTACGAGCGCTTCCGCCACGGAACCGTCGTCGCTTATTCGCCTCGTCGTCGACCAGGAAATCACACACACACGCGAGGCGTCGCGTTAAAATTCGATCAGATAATCCTGTGTGCGCCACGATTATTATGGCGATCAAATTCTTTCCCGACCGCGCGAGAGCCCGCTATTTTCTCTCTCGGCGAATTCGACCTCCCTACCGGATGTGTCGGCGAGATTCGAGGGCGCATAAATTTCCAGCTAATCAACGTCCGTCCGAGAAACGTTGTTCGTTGCGAGGGTGGCTTTTTGTCCCCTCGTTTGCAAGAGAATGGTCGCACTAGGGCTCTGCTCTGACCTAAATCGGCGGAACCGGGTCGGATTCAAGTCGGATCACTCCGGAAAATCGCGCGTGTTTGCATCCGCGAATGTGGAACAAGGGTGTGTTCGCGTAACCGATTCGCTGATTATTGAAACGATCAAGACGACGACAAGGACTAAATTGGTGAAGTTCGACGGTGTTACTGTCGGTATTATATATATAGATATATTTTTACAAGATGCGCTTCGCGAAAATCTGCTTGTACGTCTGCGGTGCAGACGGATCTGTCTACGGCAATCGACATTTCTTCCCATTTCTTCAATATTGGAAATCTATTTTACTCAATATGTTCGCATATTTACTCGAGTTTCGTTCTACGAGATGTGCATGTATTTATAAAGCGGTTGGATATTTTTAAAAATTACCTCAGACGATAATTTTCCTCCTTGCGGTTCTCCAAGTTTAAATGCGATAGCTCGATGATTTTTATTAAATTAAAAATCGGATAAAAAACTTATTTTTATGCGACGGCGGTTTGCGAGAAATATACTCATTCGGACGAAAATTGATTCTATTAACATTCATCCTGAATATATGCAACTCTCATCACGTAAATGAAATTTTTTTTAATGATTCATTACAATTTCCCTCTCTTTCATTTAAATGTGATTTATAACTTTTTCATTCTTTTTCCTTGGAATAATTATACTTTGAAGACAACACGCGCTTGTAATTAAAAGAATGGGAAATACCATTTACAAGTATGTACTTTATGTAGAGCAGTGTGATGGATTAATTATAAATACAAATTGAAGAAAAGTAAGAGCCAGGCACAGATATTAGATGCAAAAAAAAAATTATTTTTAAAAATTCTTCCATATTTATTTTAACTTATACAAAATAAGTATAGAGGGATTTAAAAATAATTTCGTCGCGCATAATGTCCGGCTTTTATATTAAGCTCTATTCGTACCTGAATTTGTATTTACATGTATATCTCTCGGAACCTTTTCGATTTATTATTTTAAATATTAATAATAATGTACAAAGTGATTTGCGCTCCGAGATAATTTATCATCCGGAGGTTCTGCATCTCTGGGAAAAGGTTGGAAACCACTGATCCGTATCGAGCATCGTATCGATCGAATGCATTCTCCGGAGTGCGACGAAGGATTTACCGTCATTGGCGAATCGCGAGGATCGTAGGACAATTTGTCCAGTGTTCGCTCGTACATTCTAGTACGCCAAGTTTCTCTCGAATGCAACGGACCTTCGCGCATAATAGTTTTCCAGGAACGTATATACCGGAAGTTCGCCATCCGTGAGACCACTCGGAGCTCCTCTCTCTTTAGCTCTCTCCCTCTCTGTCGTTCCTGTAACAACTATTTGCTTTTCAGGTGACCTTAATCCAGGAAAAGGTCACTAAGAGGTATTCTCTCTACAAATTCAGCCAGAGAAGAGACGAACGAAAACGAGCAACAGAAAAAAAAGAGAGGGAAGGAGGAGATAAGAGAAAAATGGATGATATTAGATGGAGATACTGAGATGCGTAGAAATATTCTGCTTCTCGAAGTAAGAGTCCACATATACGATAACTAAAAATTGGAATTGTTCCGTCTTTCCCAAATATGTGGCTCGTAAAATGTTCGCTACTGTAGTTTGTTATATCACACATCGTGTACTCTTTTTTTTACCAAAAGAATCTGCGTTGTTTTTGGGAAGAATGCATAGATATAAAAGCTCCTTCCATGCACGTAAAAAGAGATATCTTTTCTCTTATGTACATTTCTCGATCCTCGCTATAATTGATTCTAATTCATCTTATTAAAATATTTCTTTTGTATCGAATACACGCGAGGCAAATTCCCCAGTCTGATTGACAAGGAAACGTGCATGAAATAAACGAAGGAATAACGCGCGATAACGTATTTTCACGCTTGTCGGCGAATGTGCAAATAGCGTGAAATTGACAGGCGGATGCTGGCGCGGAGACGGAAATACGCGCTATCTCAAAACTTGAGGATACAACGGAACATCTAGCGACGAATTTCGGCTAGACGGAAAGGGGGCGAGAGAGAAAGTATAAAACCGCGAGACTATATTCTCGTGGAAATTCGTCGTAGCCGCGAAAAGGCGGAATTCGTAACGACTATCGTCGTCGTCGTCGTCGTCGTCGTCTCATCTTCATCGCCTTCGTCCGTGTCATCGTCATTGTCTCCCCGCCGGGCACAAAACGTCGTTCAAGAACACGAGGGAGGTTTCTTACCTCCTGGCCGGGAGGCGCCGGTGCTTCCTGCGATGATTAGAAGCAGCAGCGGGCTTAATAAGACTCTCGAGGAAAGCGGCATCTTTCCTATACTCCTCTACCGGCGCTTGCGCGACACGGGCTCTTCTTAGCCGACTTCCCTCATCACAGCCTCTCTGTAAGAATAAAAGATAAGACGTAAGGCTCGGTTTCGCCAGTGGAAATAAATCTCGCAAAAAGCGAGTCGCTTATAGAGTAAGACCGATGGCGATCATCGAGCCATGACATATTAGTATTTATCGTATGAGGAGATTTCTTTGCATTGTATAATCAAGATTTCGAAACTGGAACGACCAGCATCGTTAATAGTAATTACTTTTGGTATACTGTTAATAAAACAAATTAATGTGTGCTATTCTTTCATCCGTAGATACTGGTGACGATTCATCCCTCTTTGAAACGTCAGACAAGAACAAATCTTTTGTCTTTGAAAATACTATGTAGTGACATCTCGAGTAAAAATCAACTGACATTCGCACAGCTGACAATGAGAGAAGCGGAACGATTACTCGTTCTCTCATTCGAGATGACCAGCGGCCCGTGCCTGACGTTGAATGGAACGACGGGACAGAATACCGGGTTATCTTTCTCGCCATGTCTCTTCTCTCTCTCTCGGCTTACTTATATCCTCGCCTATTCTTAGGTCGCGCAAGCACATAGAGAGCCGGAGAGAGAATACGAGAACGAAGTAGATTCAGAAGGCGAGGCGGAACGTCCGGGAGGGGGGTTGAAGGGGGAGGCAGAGATGGTCCCCGGGGCGCGTTGGGTTTCCATTATGCTAAACCGCAAATGGAGTCCTGCGATCGAGTGTCTCTTCGCGGCCGACTCCCGAAGGCGCGCGCACAATGGCGCCGGTGGCGAGGCTCCTAAGGTGTAATGTTACGTAGAAATTAAATTCGCCCATATTCTCCGGCGTTTCGTGTATCCCGCCCCTTGTCACCCCGAATTCGTCAAGCGTTCGCCTCGCGACGAAAAGCATCAGCCGGCGTGACACTCGAGCTTTTTACGCGAAAACGCGACGATGATTTCTATGGTTTTTCCTGTGAGAAACGATCCTCACGCACGACACCGCATCGGGAATATTAATAGATCGCCGTATATGTATTCAGATTTTATATGTGAAAGAATTTTTACGACTCGAAGAATTCTTTACTCTTCGACGAATTTAGAACCGAGCAGCTTGAGCTTTCTTATTTGAATGCGATAATTCGACTGCAAAGTTATTTAATATATTGCGAAGATTACGCTCTTTCGAAGATATTATTTAGAAAGTAATTTTATATAAATAGGAAAATTTGTTTAATTATCCGCAATATACATAAATCATATTAGAAATATTTTTTTCTCTTACGCGTCATTTGTAAGATTTGCCATGCAGGCAGTTTTGTAAAAGGAAACGCGACGTATGCACAACCGACGAATATCGGTGTTCGGGATTTTCCACGACGCAGCTTTTCCTCTCAAGGACTCGATTACAGGCGAACAATTTTATTTGGGTACCGCGAGCTTTTTCATATCAAATTCTCTCTTTTTTGTCATGGCTAGCAACGAAAACTTGTTATATCGTGCGTCGCTTTTTACGACATACGCGTGCAATGCTTTCACTACATATTTTCAATATCTTTTTAGTTCTCCTCGCGCGCGCAGCTTATAAGCGTTTGATCGATTCTGAGTAGACGTTAGATTCGCAGCTTTGACACAGGATGATATCAACATACATGAATATGTACATTTCCCGCTTTGAAATGTCGTGTAGCAGGTAAATATTCAATATCAGTAACATCAAGCGAGAATCTTCCGGTAATTAAGTTATTGGATAAATATTACGAGATAAAACGGAGAGAGCGAAAAAAATATATGTATATAAATGCTAAGGAAATGCGATGTACAATAAATAAGTTCGATTGAATTTTTCCTTTCTGTATATCAACGCGTGAAAATGAAAAATATCACTAGGCAAAATGTACGTTCAGAGAACAGGCAAAGAAATGCCGAATAACATTCAAAGCCAGATGGAAATTATTTCGCCGAGTAACTAATTGCGACATCCGTTGTGCGACAAAAATAATTTTCCTACTAACTAATGCAGCGAATAATTAAGACGATAATAAAGTTAAATTAAAATCTGGAGAGAGAGAGAGAGAGAGAGAGAGAGAGAGAGAGAGAGAGAGAGAGAAAGAGATTATATCTGCCAGGACTACAAGCGAGGACCGAAAATAGAACTTGGGAATGAAAAGCTAATTTCATTTCAGAGAGAGTTGATTTTGCTGTCGCAATATTTGCGCGGAAAAATTTTTATGGCTTTCATAGCACAACGAGTTCAAATCGCAACTTGCGGTAAGTCATTACTGTTACATTTCTACTTTTTCCTCGACATTACGCATCGCAAATGAACACAAAGATTAAGACGAGCCTTTCATCGCAACAACATGCCGTGAATAAAATTAAAGAGATCTCGTATCCTCTTGTGTAAAATATCATATGACAGAAAGAGAGAATTTGTTGTGAAAAATTTAATATGAATATCTATACTTGATAATAAAATGACGAAAAAAGCAAGGATAAAATCTGCAGCATACGTAAATGTTCTGATTTTTTTGTATAATATTCAATACAAAATATCTAAAGTTACATATCGTTAATATTAAATTTTATATATATATTTGTATTTCACAAAAGATAAAAAGTGCTCGTAATATATTAGAATAGACGTATTACGTTGTGAGCAAAAAATTTGAATTTACCATATATTTGGTAGAAACGTGCATCAGAGAGAAAGAGAGAAAATCGCTATAAAATATCATCTATATTGCGCCAGATATTCCAACAGTTTCGATACAACTGACGTTTTAAACATCCTTTTCCTCTCGTTTTACGTGACAATACAGGTGGATTCTGGGATCTAGTCGGCTTCCAAACAATGCCGGAAATTTACAATGTTGGTTCAACGTTTACCTGCTGCATCGTATGTTTAGAAGACAAAGAATAACAGGCTGAGAAGGAAGAAAGAGAGGCGAGAAAGACGGAAAGCAAGAGATAAGACCGTCCAACAACATTGTTTCTTCCCCTGGCACATCCTTGTCGTTTTAAAGCCAGCTTCGCGCGGAAGCGCAGGGAAGCTTCCGCTTTGACGGTTTTCTTATTGAACGCGCAAATTGTATTCCTTGAACGAACCTGAGGGATTGCAATATTGGCGCGACGCGATTGCAATGATATTATCGAAAGAGATGCGACAAATTGGAAACCAGAAGAACTGATGGAATCCGTCCAAGTCGAGAAGTATCTAAACAAAAGCTCATTGAAACGCATATTTCGCCAAATAACGATCCACCTAACACTTTTACCGATTGATGCTGACAAAGTAAAATCAAATATTTGCAATATTATAACTGTACAAGTGCGTTAAACAAGTTGGAAAAAGCGCGTGTAGAATAAAAGAGATCTATAACATCAGAAACCGTCAGACTTACTAAATCTTCAAATCTTTGAAATTTCTTCTCTCAAAGGCCGCCTAATATGACGTAGAATATTATTCGCGTTCAAAGAATCTCAGAATTTATTCGCTACAAAAATGTTCTAAAAAAAAAACAGTCTAAAATAGCATGCTGGCATCTTAAAAATCGAAGGAAATACTTCACGGACAATCGATACGCTGTCACGCTCAGCGGCTTGCGAGATGCAAATGGACCACTTTCACGTGTCATCGCTTATAAATCTCTCTTCTTCGCGTAGATGTTCGCCAAAACGCGGAGCGGATAGTAAATGATGGAAACGATGTCGAACGCATTTGAAGGAGAATCGTGCGATATGTGGGAAAAAAAAAAAAACAGGAAAGAAAAGAAAAGCAACGCAACGGAAGGGAAGCTGCGCGCCGGCAAACAATGTGGTCTTATCTAACGGAAAATTTCCGCAGGCTCACAGCTACGGACATATATGGGAAAGGACTTCTTCTTCTTCTTCTTTTGTCCCGTCTGGCGAACGTAGCTTCGAGATCGGCCATTTGCCAAACGAGATTGAAGATTTGCACCGTTGGTTCGCCGGTTATTATCGCCGAAGCGTATAGATGGAGGGAAAAAAGGATCAGGGTGCGAGAGAGCGGAGGAATAAAAACGGACGGGTGGCGGGGAAATTGGGATAAGAGAGAAAAGAAGTTTAGCGGAGATATGGAAAAGGCGAAGAAGAAAGAGAGAGAACGGAATCGCACTGGTTTATCGCAGTGGATTCCGAACGATTCTTCCTCTCATCGAAAAAAGGAAAAACCGGGAAGGCGGAATCGAGAGGAAGAACGACAATGTTGTGACGCGAGACGCAAACTTGCTCGGAACTTTGATGGACGATCCGACGACGACGATGAAGCCGGACCACCGTACTTTCATGAACTGAAGGAAGAAGATACGATCGCGAAGCTCCGCGAGAACTCCTTTAGAACTGGCTGAGTCGCGTTAACTTATATTCGAAGAGTATGTGCTCAAGTGACATTATTTAGTTTCCGCTCGGCCCGATAACATTTTCTATCGGACTTTGTGGAAATTCTGTCCCTCTTCTATGGAAGGTAAACGCGGAAAATCGAAAATCGATATAGAACTGCGTATTTAAATTATATTAAGTATAATATCAAAATAAAAATTACTGTTTCTATTATTTCATGAAAGTAAACGCCAACATTTATACTCATTACATTTTCCGTGGTATAAATATTTAGAAACGCGCGCTTTTAATTTTCTCTTTCTCAAAAACTTTTATATGAGAAAAACCATTAAAACAATTTTTTAGTCTTTCTCTTTAATTTTACGCAAACTGATAATATGCAGTAACATTGTAATTATTTAATCTTATATATAATCTTCACAATTAATTGTTGATTGCCAGTGATAAAATTTTAACAAATAATAAGATGTAATTTTAATTCGACCAAAAACTGGCTATTCATTTATTGAAAATAAGTACACACTACGTTTTCGACCCACATTGTGGTCCTTTTTAAGTGCTTTGTGTCACAGTAGCTAACAGATTGTCGATATGACAGGACAACTTTCATGTTTCTATTTTTAATTAATGTAATTGCTGAATAAGAACAAGTATGTATTACAGATCAAATTTAATGTTAATGTAATCT